TAATAAGCCGATGTATGTACATTGGGTTGGTCCAACAATAAATACACAGTAAAGTGAACCTTTTGGGCTTTCCTTGCTGCCACCCGTCATTATAGAGAGGCGAAAATAAGGAGACCCGTATTTTTTTGTTTGGAAACCGTTAAATATTTAACCGTGGACACAGTGGTGCATATCCAAAAATTTAATTTTTTAATTAAAAGCCGAGCGCGATTTTTGAATTTTATTTTTATTTGTGTACCAGCAAATAACCTGCTTGTTTCACTACGCCGGGTTAACCCTTTCGGGACTGCTGGGATAATACATACCAGCAAATTTCTAAATATACTCTGAATAAGTTTTTTACGTGAGAGTGATTGTCCCAATATGTTTTTTAGATGGCGAAAAGGAAGCTAACTCAAGAGGATCTTGAGCGTATTATGTTTGAAGAGTCAGACTCGGATGCTAATTTTGAGGACTCTGGGAGTGAATATTTGCTTGAGAGTGCCGAAAATCTGCATCGGAAGCTGACGATAATATCAATGCGGCTACTGGGCCTATAGAAACAAAAGAACGACATATTGTCTGTTGCCCAGTGTGTAAATGTCGCTCCGGATGATTCTTAGAACTTCAATCCAAAGTATTAAATCCGAACTGAGCGAGACTGCAAAATTCTTCTTGATTTTACTCATGATTGCACCGAGTTCAAAGTGTTTTCCACGATATTTCCTTACAGTTTGTGCATTCGAATTGCTGACAGCTTTGAATCACCGGGCTCAGTCAATGAGTATGGAATTGATTTTATATATTTCCTTCCAAGTTCCAGTACTCTACCACAAATACTTACTGAGATATGCAGTATGAAGGTTTTTTTTTTTTTATGGGAGTACGCCCCTTGTCTAATCGAGATAACCGCTATCCTATATTTTAAATTGAGCCCAGTACTGCCAGGTTAATAACAAATTAAAGCTTTAAATGCATTTTTATTACCTTTTCTACGTTTGGAAATCAAGTTCTAAGTACTTTTTTTTAGTGAGTACTGTCGTTGGTAGCTGAATTTGATTACATATATGGTTTTATAAAACTGTTTATATAGATAACGGATTACCCTCAAAAATCCTTTTTGAATTTCCCCTAGACGCATTTTCTTCCCTCTAAAGCCGTCCCCTAAATATTTAGTCCCCTTAAATTTACACCTACGGCAGTCAATAGTCCCTAAATCTAGGGGGAAAACCGTTGATCTGGCAACACTGGTTGAGCTCAATGACAGCAGTATGGAAAATTTCATGACGATTGAACGTAAGAAACAAACAAAAAGTAAGAATTTTTTAATTTTAATTTTCTTTGAATAAAAATTGTTATTTTTTTTTAACATACTTTATTCTTTATTAAAATGCGTAGTTTCAATCCTTGTTTTGTAAAAATTTCGTGCTTTTTGTAGCGCATTCAATTTTAGTGTGACAAAGTGCAAGTTTAAAGTAGCTGGGACTTCCCGTTGATTTTTAGCAATTTTTTGTTGACGATGTCAGTCAGTTTCTTCCATATAAATTATATTCGAAGATTTTTTATGGTGAAAATGAGGAACACCTTTAACAACTAGCGCAACTCCGAGCTATTTCAAACTTGCACTTTATTATATGTATCAAATTGAATGGACCACAAAATTAAATACTCAAAATATTTCTAAGAAGTCGAATTAAAAAGCTCGAAATATTTACAAAAGTTTGTTGTTTTTATACGCTTATTGCTTAAGAATAAATTAATTTTTTATAAAAAATAAATAAAATCTACTACGATGGACCATAACCGCTTCAGGCAAAGGGGTTTTTTGATATGCCCGCCTACGATTCTTGCCACTGGTACAAAGTCGTAAGGTTAATGGATCCGTATGACTTTGATTGGCCTGCTGGTTTTCCATCCACCTTAAGATGTATCACACCGTCAACGCATGCCATTGGAATGGGATATTCACGAACAGCATTTTCACTGGCACATTTTTATTAAGAAGGCAGCAGATGGAGATGTACTTATGTACATACATATGTATATTATTATATAGTCGGCATACTTATGTAAACAAATTACTATGGTTCACACTTCTATTTCTATTATAAAGTAAAGCCATTCAGTTTACCTTCATCCAGCTAATATTGAGTTGCCGTTTTCATATTTCTTATAACTGTATGGTCTTCACTTAAACTATTTTTCCACTGTGTAAATTAGGTTTAACAGTCAATGAAAACCAAAGTTTATTAAAAGGCGCTTAGGCTAAAATTTGTTAACATTCGTTTTTTTTTTTGCAATAATGGGATTATGTTAAAAGAATCATAATTTCTATAATTTAAAGTCATCTATATATAATTTTAAAAACTTAAAATAATGTGGTGTACATACACCTGTATGCACATATGTACATACATACTTTCTACCCTACGTGACGTTCTCTTCCGGCACATTTGCGCTTATAACAGCGATTTGCGATTTCTCAGCAGCACTCGGACTTTCAGCTCCTCGGCCAGCGTTGGCATCGACCTCATTACTGGAACGTATAAGTTGAGACTCCTTCTCAGTGATTTCCGGTACAGCCAGGGATTGTTCGCCAAGAATGATATGAACAGCGCTAAAAAAAAAAATAAAAAATTAAAATATTTTGAAGAGGAAAATGATTTAAAATAGCTATATTTTTCCAACGTACAGTATCAAAACGAAAACGGCCATCTGGGTGGCGATAGTCAACAGGAAGACACCTGCTCCACCTTTGCCGTCAGCATTTAAGGTCGCGCGATAGACTTGCGAATAGCAGACACCACTAATGAACGGCACGGCATTATCACAGACGGCGAGCAGAGCGAACACCTTGCCACGCTCCGACTGTGGAACAATTTTCGAGGTCATTGCACGTATCATTGGACCAACGATCGGACCTAAACTGCATATCAAAGCGCCAACATAAAATAAGGTGCCAGTCTCAGCGCAGTAATAGAAGATGCGAGCAATGGCGTGCGCCCAAGCGCCGATAAATATTATGGTCTGCGAGGAAAAATTAAAAATACCATGCGATTCTATTTAATGAAACGATTATAAATAGCACTCACCGTGTCCTTCCAATTGAATCCCTTATTCATCAGCGGCACCGCCAACAACATCGCTATCACATAAGCGGACGACTTGAATGTTTTGAAAGTGCTGTACACATCGACGTTCCAACTAAACTTGAATGTGGTGTAAAGGAATAAGTACTGATTCTCATCGCGTTGGAATGTATACAAAGCCATGCTGATCAGCAGTATGAGGAGAAAGGGCCGTCGATGACCAGGTCGGGTTTAACCAAAACATTGAAAGACTCCTTCACATGTTCCTTATCGAAGAAATCCGGAAAGAAGCCACACCAGCCGAGTTCGCGTAGTGAACGTTGTTTGGGCGTAGTTTGCCACTGAAAAATAATAGTAAAAATAAAATACTTGAACCGAACATTGCAACAATTTACTCACCTTAAGCGCAAAAATTGTATAGATTATAGAGAGCGCCAATAGTGTGGCATTCAACGTAAACATGTCAGCGTAAGATTGATTGAACACATTGTAAAAGAGGTAGGAACCTGAAAAATTTTCGACTCGTTTTGATTAACTCTTCAATCGTGATTTGGTAAAATCTTACCCAAGGCAACTCCAGTTGGCATGGCGCTCAGATAAACCACATCTAGTATGGTAACACGTAGAGTGCGATTTTTTAGCGTTGATTTATCGGATATATAGGCAAAACATGATGCAAATATGGCCACATCTGCGCCTGTAAGTGCCGAAGGAGTGTAGCTGTGTAGATGACATACTCCAATGGCCACGTCTTCATCGGCATTCACTACAATCATAACCGAGTAGATGAACTTGCCAGTCAGGCCCATTAAAAGTGGAAATTTACGACCGCGTCGATCAGAAAAAGAGCCGAGAAAGAGCGCTAATATAATTGGGAAGACATGCGCTGCAATGGACTCTATTTGAAGGAACTTTGCTGTTGTGATCTGGAGGGACAAAAAACAAAACGGTTATGATTTGGTAAAAAAAATTTGGCACTCTAAACATTGGTACCCAAAAATTTGTAATGTTGCTTATTAAAATATTGTATTACTACCAGAGAGCCACCTACGAAAAGCCTGAGAATTATCTGCCTTTCACCTATTCGTAAAAATCCTGAAAAGTTTGCTGGATGTTTTTATTCAGCAAAAGATAAATCCAAGGGAGCTGTCTAATTGTCAGCACGCTTATTCTAGAGCGGCATTTTGGGCTTTAAGGAAGTAAGAAGAAATATTTTTTTAGAAATCAAAAGAGACTTTAACAACTTAAATACTTCCAGAAGCGGCCGTAAAGTCACTGCTCCATATTTGGTTCATAAAAAAGGGTAATAAAATAAAATGGAAATAAAGCAAAAATAAATAAAATTAAAAGCTATTTTTTCTATTTAAAACAAAAAATTATAAAATTAACTTAGAAAAAAAATTTAATCAAAAAAGAAGAAAATAGTACTTAAAGCTTTTCTAAGTAACTTAAAAAAATATATTTGTACATATATTTTTAAAACAAAATCTAAAAATTGTAAGAACATTTAATTTAAAGTCAAACGATTAATATTAAGAAAAATAAATATAACAATAATATAATATAATAAAACGAATACATATATTTTATTTTTTAAAGCAAAAAAAAATTTATTTAAAAGAAAATGCAATTAACAAAAGAAAAACAAATTCATTTTAAAAAAGAAGAAATACATGAAATGAGTCTCTAAACATGAAATCTAATTAAGTTTTTATATTTTATTTCCACCAAGCCAACACTGCAGTTTATGCCTATTGGAAAAGGCTATTACAACTCGAAGGCGTAATTGCTCATATTATGTAAGTACAAGCAATAGAAAGCAAAATGTAAGAAACTAACTATGTTTATCAAACGCTCTTAACTGCATTTAAGCTCTTGGTGCAAATGGGCTATTAAACAATAAAATCTAAAAATTAAAAGAAAATTAAATTAAAAATGGAAATGATATTTAAAAAAAAAAATAAATAAAATATGTTCCCAAAAATTAAATCAAATAAAAAAAAATTATTTTTTAAAACAACGGCATCTAAAAGCTAAAAGAAATTTTATTTAATAAAAGAAAGAAATACATAAAATAAGTTCCTACAATAAATTAAAGTAAAAAAATATTTATTTTTCTCTTTAAAACAATAAAATCTAAAATGGCATTAAAAAAGAAGATATGTTAACAAAAAAATAAAATGTGAATTAAAAAAAAAAAATTGGCTGTCCGAGGACTCGAACTGTGATCTTTCAAATGGCACGCCTGTGCTTCTTTGGCCAGCTTTTTTTCTAAGACTTTGTGCCAGAATAAAAAAAGTCTTTCGAATCTTGCCATCTGTCTTTTATTTGTCTACCGAAAGACTTTTTTACCATTTTAGCCAGGATTGTCCTGTTAGTAATTAATTTTTAATTTTTAAACCATTTCCGTATTAAATAGTTTACTGTATAAGGTTCTGAAAGCACTGGAATGTCAGCACAAGAAAATGTTACTTTCTAAAGCTTTTCAAACGAACGAAATCAATGAGGTAAAACCAAGCTCGCCAACGTCCATCTCTATTTGCTCTCACAAACGCTATACTAAACGATTCACGATACTCACCTGTACTTCCTTTTTATAGTAAGCATTTTCATCTGCTTTGATATTCGAGCATATTTCATCACTAAAATTATTATTCACACGACATGCTTTCTGTACGAAAAAATCCTGTTCCACCACAGAAGTAATCATAAAAGCAAACATATACAGGAACATAGTCGGCTCCACTGAGATCTATTATAAAAGCAAGGAAAGGAAAAAATAAATAAAAATTGATCATATCCACAACAGTATTTTATTTATAATTTGTATATGGCAAGGGTTAATTCCTTAAATGCAAATATGTATATGCACGCTTACTAATGCACGTGCCGCTTACCTTTTTGTACCATGGTGACATGCAATTCGCCTTAAATCTCTCCCAACCACTGTGCGGTTGTGGCTGTTGCTGTTGTATGCACTCATCTTGCACTTGGTCGTCCTAAAAGTAGGCAATTATTTTTAGTCACTGCCTCTTACTGGGAAACAACTGTTAAATATGAGTATGTTAGTGAGCACAGTGTATACATTTTATTTGTACATGCGCAGTGTTAAATGAGTGCCGAGTTGCCATCAAGCTTTTAAAATATAAATACAATTTTTGGCATGGGACATTTCTTATACACATTTCATCGTAAATATAAAATTGTATTGTGTTTCTCGAATGCTGCTGAGGGTGATTATTTTGTTTAGAGAATATATAAATAGGGTTGCTTAAGTGCCGAAAAGGATGAAAGATACACGCTCGTGGCCAAAAAAGCTTTACCACCACTTTTTTTGTAATTTGGTAAAATTTATTAAATTAATAAAGATTTTTTTTTCATAATGTGTGTGGTTCAAACCGCAACCATAACAATGTATATAAATAAGCGTTTCAAACTTTGTACAAAATTTAGAAATATTCTTAAAATTTTCATCAAAATTTTAAACTTTTAAAACTTTAAAATTTTTTTATAAAATATCGGGTACGCAGTCCATTCCCATAGCCTATTTAATTTTAATATAATAATGTGCAAGTAACAACTGTGTTTCTTTTGGCTATGTTTGGTGCTACTCCAAGCTTTTCAGGCCATCAGTGATTTTTAGACCATTAGTCATAGGTTTTGTATTACGGCGAAGCCATTAACGCCAGAAAAGCGTTAACTAGCTTTAGGGGTATTTTTCTAAGATGCATGATTATAAGTGGGCCCCTAACTGATGCTAGCTTACATATGTATTTCTCTCCTTAATTCGAAGGCAGATTTTGAGTGAAGTAGTTACAAAATATTTTTACCATAAACCAAATTTGAAAAATTTCAGCAAAGTAGTTAAATTTTAATTTTAAATACTTTGAGCAACAATTTCGAATGCTGCAGTTATTTCGAAAAAACGCTTAGAATGGCATTTTTTTGACAAGACTGTTGCAGGAAAAATATTTTGAAGTTGAATCAGCTGACTCAATTACATATTTTGAAAAGCTTATATACAGTATTTCTTAAAAAAGCCGTATTTAGTAATTTAAAACCATTTTACAATATTTTAAAGAAATTAAGTTATACATGGGAAATTTCGGTGTGTCTAAGGGGATATTTTTCTACAGAATGTGATCAGCAGGGAACGGATTTTTAGGACCTAAAAACCTATAAAAAAG